GAGTACCACAAGAGTTAGGTCCCGGGTTCGAATCCCGACAACTAGGGGTGGGCACAGAAGTCCGTAACCGTTTAACCATACCAAAAAATCGGAAAACCGTTATTTTTTTCGGTTAACCGTACCGATTTTAATTAAATCATGGTACGGTTAACCAACCGCAAGAAAAAAATGGTACACGGTACGGTTATGGTTTTGAAAATAAGATATGGCTGGTTAACCGTTAACCGGTATTTCAAACAATACATGTTTCGTATGTAATGAGTAAGCTAATTTAAGGTCGTTGGTCGTATATTTCAAAAAACACTACCTGGATTCCTAGATACATATGAAACAACTCGCCTACTTTTTATTCTGTAATAATTAATAAGATTAGAACTTCATCAATTCTCAAATAACTTTGATATCGGAGTATTAAATAGAAAGTTCAATATTAATCTTATTAATCTAGCTTAAGTCGTACACAAATATAACGAAGTTTATATTTGCTGGAGTTTGTAATATATGTGACTCTGTCAACTTATTGAATTATATTTATAGTAGAATAGACATTGACTTGACTATGAATAAACTATAAAGTTTAGATAAATGTGATTGATACCTAAATATGGATAAAGTTTTAGAGAAATGGCAGTATTTTAGATTTTAGATACGTCATTATTATAGTTTGTAGTATTATAATTATAGTTTGTTGGAGTTTGTATTATAGCATCTTGTTAAGTTTGCAGTATTATAATTAGAATTAATTCCACTTTAGGTCCTCCGAGTTTTGTGTCGTTTCCATATTTAGTCCTCGTCTTTCACTTTATCCACTTTTGGTACCTGACTATTGTTTTCTTGACCATTTGTGGTCCATTTCTGAGCATTTTTACTATCAGAAAAGGACTATATATGGTCAAGAAAACAATAGTCAGATACCACAAATGGATAAAATGAAAGACGAGAACGAATTGTGGAATTGGTGCAAAACTCGAAGGACCATAAGTGGAATTTCATCTTATAATTATATATGTGGTGTATTATTTTAATTCCTGCATTTTTTGGGAAGTTTCTATTCATATTTGATTTTACTGTTAATATTTTGTGGTTTTATGGTTTTTGGTTAACCGCTTTGCGGTTAACCGAAGTTATGGTTAACCGATACTCGGTTAACCGAAATGATGGTTAACCGATACTCGGTTAAAAAATAGTAACCGGTTTCTCGGTTAACCGAAAGTTGGTTAACCAAAACCCGGTTAACCGACCATGCCCACCCCTACCGACAACTGCCATGAGGGGTTACTATGCTAAAAATGCATAGGGCCTCTGCAAGTACCGGTGACAGAGCCCCACTCTCTATCTGTCAGATTGAGATTATAGTCCAATTTACATTCTCCCAACGTACCGTCCGGTCGAGGTTGGGGGTCCTCAGTGATGAGGTGTCATCCTTTTTTTATATACTTATTACTCACAAAATCACTACAAAAATTATTACTCCTTCCGTTCAATTCGATTTTGTCAATTTTCCATCTTTTTATTATTTCAATAGTTTTGTCATTCTTTCATTACGGTATTGTGGTTTGTCGATTTTTCTTCCCTTTAATTTATACAAACCCCGATGACACAAATTTTACTTTTCTTATTTCTCACCTAATTCAAAATTGATAAATGTTCAATGTAACGGATATGATATTTTTTATAAAATGTACATTACAAATGTAATAAAATCTTAAATTACTTTTCTTATTGTTTCGGTTTTTTAGGTTTTCAGCATATTTTTCCATGCATGACAGCATAAAATGTTTCAAAAGACAAAATTGATGTCGTAGTCAGGGGCGGACCGTAGTAGAGACCCAGGGGGCTACCGCCCCCCAACAAATTTTTTTTTTAGTGTATATATATACGAAAAATGATTTTTGTTCTTCCAAAAAGTATTTTGAACCCCCAAAAAATATTTCCACCCCCCAAAAATTTACTTTCCTGGATCCGCCCCTGGTCGTAGTAAAATTTATTGATCCATATACATTAATTGAACACCAAACAGAAGGAAGGTTATTGGCTGAGATTTGAATGCGCGTGGGACATACGATGGCGACCTAAGCTTGGTCAAGTTACGTAATTAAACGCCACGTGGTTTGGCCATGACCGAAGACCGGACGATGGTTTCAACCGAGTCATCATTGGTCCAATCACTTTCCTCACACTCCTAAGGTCCACCACACCGAAAGTTTTTAGCAGTACTTCCTTCCCCTCCTAGTAAAAACTTTCGATAGAAGAATCCATTTCGTTAACATGTTTTTTGGCAAACACTTGATATTTGTTTAATATATAGTCCGTTTGATAGCATGAAAATTGATTGATTTGACTGATTTTTCTTAAATTTTGTTTTTTTATTAATAATTTCTTTTTTAGCAAAAATAGTCAATTCATCTACTTCAATTAGAATTGTCCAATTCGTCTACTTCATAAAATTCAACATAGAGCCCGTTTGATAGAATGAAAATTGGTTGATTTGACTGATTTTGTTGAAATTTATGAAGTTCTGGTGAAACTGACGGTATTGGCTGATTCGAATGATTTAAGAAAAAATTATTTTTAAAAAATAAAAATAGCTAAAATGATATATAATTTATAGTAACTTCAGTCAATACAGCTACAAAAATAACTTCAATCTTACGTTTTCTACTTATTACACAATTCAGTGCGTGAAAACAAAAGTTATGTGTTTGATAAAAAGTTGAATGATATGCCGAAAAACAGTGTTGTCAAACGGCCTCATAATTATCCAATTCAATCAATCTTAATATTACCAAACGGACTCTTAATTAAATACTCCGTATTATTTAAAAGTATTCCGCGGCAGAGGTAAAAAAATCAGTGATGCCTCCTCTTTAGTTTTTTGTTGTTTTTTCCCATATCTTTTTTCTACATGTTCGAATCGAAAGTAAAGAGAAACTAGAAACAAATAGTAGATAAAACGAATAAAACATTTAGTATAGTTAAGCTCTCAGAAATACTACTACATTTGTCCCAAATTTCTCTCCTGAAATACAAATTACACGAGATTAAGATAGTGAATTGTGTGGTGGAGATTGTGCAGGAAGAGAGAAATAAGTAAGAATGTGCAAGAAATTATGTGAACCATAGATTATTTGTCAAAAAAATGAGAAAATAATTTTAGAACAGAAAAAGGAGAAATTTGAATATAATTCTGGGACGGATGGAGTACTTAATATAGTTGGTATATCACAAAAGTAAAGATATAGTGGACAGAATAGTAATTTAGTAAGTAGTAACTTTTATTGTTCTAATTATGTTCAAATTGTACATATATCATACTATCGTAGTGACTATAAAATATAGGAAGAATTCTTCAAATGGGATTAAATGAAACTTTAATTGTCAAAATAGGACTATAACTTAAAATTTCCCAAATAGAACTATCTTTCCAATTCTATCATTGCTTTGATTTAATACAATTCATTAATAATTAAAAAAAATTAATAACAAATTAAAAATTCAAAAATAATAAATAAAATCAAAACTTTAAAAAAATAAAATTAAAATAAAATAAAAAAAGTAAAAAAATATATGCAGGCCTATGTTGGACCCTCAGCAACCTCCCAACATCACCAGCTCTGATTACCGAAAAATAATGCCAACATGTGTCAGAAATGTGATGTTGATGATAGTTTTTAAGAAAATTTTTACATTGTCAAAGGGTAAAAATGTCAACTTCGTGACATTTTCAAAGAAAAACTGGTTGATTTTACACAAAATGGCATTTTGATCTGATCAAATGTAGCATTGATGGGCAGTGGCCGAGGCTGTGGAAAGATCTCCATATTTTTTTTATTTTTTTCAGGTGTTTTATCTATTTTTATTTACTTATTTTTTAATTTTTTAAATGATTATTATTTTAGGATTTTTTTTAAAATATTTTAGAATTTTTTATTCTTTTTTATGATTTTTGTATAGGTTAAAATATTTTTTATTATTTTATGTTTTTTATTATAAATTAAAATATGATTTGTTGGGAATATTTTATGGTGTCCAATCTTATTAAATATCTTTGTATTTGTGTAGTAATTATTTAGATGTGTAATATGGGCCACAAATGTATTTTTGGCCATTAGGCCTCTTGTAAGCCTTAAGTTAGACATCCTTATGTATAAAAGGAAGCTAACTTAAGAGAAACCCTAAGTCTAAAACAGAACTTTTGGGTTAATGACCCAACGGGGTTGGCCCATAAAACCCTCAAGACCCGCCCTACGAGCGTCCCCAGAAGGCACGAGACAACGAGTTACCTTTCCGCTTATCCTGGCGAGGTTCGTCTCCAACAAGGCCCAAGGGAGGTCCGTATTCTAGCATAGACGGGTTGTAACATTGCCCCCAAGTATTTGTACTTCATCAAACTATGTATTATACCTTGAGAAATGAATAAATGCATCTTTCGTGATTGTAAATTTCTTATCATTTCTTTTACGTGAATAGTAAACTTCACGTGGGACCCACACCAAAAGTGAGGGCCGCCCGATATTATCGGGACCGCATATTATATTCATTTGGATCTAGATAATATTCATATGATGGTGGATATCCACGATGAGCTATAGAAACCATGTGAGTTGGTCAGTCGTGCATATAAGGCCCATTTATCGGTACCAAAGTACTAACAAATAAAAAGCCATAATAAATTATGGAGACCATTAAATTAAAAGTTGGGGAATATACATTCATTCTAATAGCCAATCATAATTGGAAGAATGATAGATATTTCATTTGACCCGATAAAATGAAATATAGTTAAAACAATCCAGAAAATACAACTTTCGGGACCAAGTGTACACTTGGGGACCAAAGGGATGACCACCCAAATAAGTGGGGGCTATCCCACGTTTTTAGGCTTGCAAATGGAGAGGGGAGCCACACCTTTAGGCTGCTGAAAGAGAGTGAAAAGGATTGGAGACAAAGTGTGAAAGAAAAGGGGTCCCTCCCCCATATTATTGATGAATAAGTCAAAAAGAGCATTCTCAATCACCCCAGCCCATACACTGTGTCCCAAAAATCATCCTGGAGGAGAGAAGCTCTGCAAAAACTCCGTTTTTATCCACCATACACGCACCAAGCTAAGGGAGGAAGAAGGAAGGAAAAAGAGAAGAGAAAAGAGGAGTTTAGGTGGGAAAACTTGTGGTTAATAAGGTAATGATGCCATTAATCCCATTTCTTCTCTTTAATAATATTTCATACTCCTGGGATAGTTCTACATGATTAAGAATGTAGAATTGGGGTTTGAAAGGAAGTTCTAAGTCCAAGAACGGACTTAGAGAACAAAGTCGACGGGTTCGTCGGAAAATAACCTTTTAGAGGTTATTTATATTGATATGGATTTTATGATGATAAAACCTTGTTATTAACTTGTATAAGGTATTTCAAGAACTTTCACAGAGTTGAAAAGGTCGCCGGAGTTGTCGCCGGAGTTCATTGAAGTTCGCCGAAATTTCGTCATGGCTCAATCGGAAAGGCTAGGACCCCATAAGCTTCATTAAGGTGAGAAGACGGCTTTATGCTTTATATCTTTTGTGTGAGGCATGAGATTACCTAAATTCATCAAGAATATGTTTTATGGATTGATTAATGGTATTAAAGTATGTGTTATGTTATGTTAAAGAATATAACATAGTTGGAAAGCATGATTTGTAGGTTTGATTAGTGAAATTATCATAAATTGATATGTATGATGTTCCAAGGATCCAAATAGCTATTTTTGGATTAAGGACGTCAAAGAGTACATGCATGTAAAATTTCACGTTAATCGGACTTCGTTTGGGTGGTCAAACGGGCGTTGACCATCAAATCAACTGTTACACCCGACCAGGTATTGGTAAATACCCGATCGGGTATGTATTGAAAACTGCCCCAGGGGCCGCTGCCTCCTATAGCCGACCGGGTATAGGTAGGTATTCGACCGGGTATTGGGTTTTACACCCAAACGGTCAGTTTTGAATGACTATAACGTGAGGCGTTCGGGTGAGAACCGTCCATGTTGATTATTAAGGATTATTATATGACGATAGGGCTAGGTATTGTCCATAGTTAATGGATTGAAAGGATAGCCATATCCAGGTTAGGGTTTGGTAAGGAGTAAGGTTGGGGTTGAGTATCCCTGGAACGGTAAATGATCCTGAAACTCAGTTGGGGTTGAGTATAGGGATGGACTAAACCGGGCCAGCCCGACCCGGAACCGGCCCGGCCCGTTACTGTTTGGGCCCGGACCGGAACGGGACCGGTTGGCCGGTTCCGAGCTTTTAGCCCGTTTGGGTGGCTCGGGCGGGCCGGGCTCGGGCCCAACTTTTGGTGAACCGGCCCGGTTCAATTTTTTTTGTTTTTTCAATTTTTTTTGCTTTTCTAGGTTAGGGTTGGGTGTTTTGGGGGGGTTTGGGGGTGGGGGTGAAGGGGGGGGGTAACGGTGGTTACACCTATACATATATGTATCACCCTATTTTTGGGTCTCGTGTCTGAAACATTAGTTATTTCTCATATAGCCTATTTGTCACTAGTACTTTCTATGGAGTACTGACCCCTTCGGGGGCCTCATATTTTTCAGGTTAAGGCTAGAGTCCTACTACCTGCACCATTATCTAGGGTGGACTTCAAATAAGGAAGACGTGGTTCGTACTTCCATTCTTATTTGAAATTATGAAAATGCTCATGGATATTTAAACAATGTTTTCTATGAAACTATTGAAGGGCCTACGTGCTCATGTTTGCCACGTGTGGCTGATTGTCAAACGGATTTTATTTCCGCATTTGTTTGACTATATATTGATGTAGATTGTATGGGTTTACTAATCGGTTTGGCAATAGGATCTTATCGGACGCCTTGTATGATTTTATAAGAATGTACTACGTTGTTCTTATTGGGTTGTACAGCGGTTGTCTACGTGGCACGAACGCGGTCCGGGGCATGACAATTAAATGGTATTAGAGCCAGGTTTTTCTAAACTATATAATTAACCTCTCAATATTGTATTATCAAAAAGTTTTGAACGAAACCATGAGCAAAAAGTTTTTGTACCTAAGGAACCGTTCGAAACTAAGTTATTGACCTCTGATTGTTAAGACGGTACCCTTAACAATTTGTTGGCCATAATATTGGACCAAGTGGTGTCTTTTGTACTATTCTGTCAGTTGACATTGAAACGAGTCTAACGGCTCATTTCGAATTTCTTTCAGAAAATTGAGGGTAGACGCATGGCTTCGAGGAATAACCCGAGGGGGCAAGCACCGGTAACGTCCATAGGGGCTAGCCAGGTCGCGTCTCGGGGCTCTAGAGGAAGTCGAGGAGGCCGTGGAGGCTGTGGAGGTGATCATCGGGCTCAAACTGTGAGTGATGGCCATGTAAGCTCGGTGTATGAAACCAACACCGAGAACTATGAATCATCATATGTTCCCGAAACGGAACATGAGGAGACCCCATACGATGGGGGTGATACGTACACCGACGATGACAATGATGAGAGTGATGCCAAATTCGCCCATATGGGGAAATTGTTTGAGTGGTATCAAAAGGAGAAGCTGAGAAGAGACCTTAGGCGCAAATCTAGATGTGCCTCTCAGGGAGGTTCGGGTCAGGGAAGCCGGGGAGCTTCAGCGGCCATTCCCATGGCATCAAAGGGGGTACAGGGAGGAGGTTTATGTGCAAGAATCTCCAAATACCTCAAGGAGGCTAGAACCTTGGGGTGTAAGTCATTTGATGGCAAGGGTGATATATCGCGCGGTGGCTGCCGACTGGATCAAGAAGCTAAATGAGGCTGCTAGGGATATGCAGATCGGGCTTGACATAAAGTTGACGGTTGCTACCAGGTTACTGGAGGGAGTAGCCGCGATATGGTGGGAAGGCGTGGAAGAAAAGTTCCACTGTGAGAACACCTGGGAGAAATTCGAAGTAGAATTTTATAATCAGTATTATTCAGAGTTTGAGAAGAACCAGAAGAGGAAGGAGTACATGACCTTGGTACAAGAGGAGGATTGCTCGGTGAGGCAATTGGAACAGAGGTTCCGGGACTTGGCACGATACATACCTGAGTACGCCATGGATGAGAACCGTATGGCTAATCACTTCTAGGATACCCTACAGTTGGATATTCGTGATCGGGCTACCTACAATCATCACATGACGTTCAGTGAGATTGTTGATCAGGGGCTCCTTGGGGAAGCCAAATGGAACGAAAGGAAGAAGAGAGACGCCAAAGAGGCAAAGAAGAGGAGATGGGGGAATTCTGGATCCCAAGACCATTCCCGGAAGCATCACGCCGAGAATGCAAATTCATTTAGGGCGCCGACACCACCAGCAAAGAAGAGCAAGGGCCTAGGAGGGCAAGGGCACAGCTCCGGGAGTGGGAGGCCACCGATGTGACACCGCACCCGGATGTACTCTAATTTAAAATTCAGTATGTATTTGAATTTTTCTAGCGAATGATTTCGTGTAAAAGAATGGTATATTTAATTCATAAATGATTAAATAAATTATTTACCGGGTCCATTATATTGAGAATGGGCTACCAAATAATTAGTTGGGTCATCATAATAATTATAGAAGCCCAATTAAAATGTCAACTGAAGTTGAGGAAATATTTGGACAACCCAAGTGCTATTTTGACTCAACCTGCCAGAAATAACGGGACTAATTGGGAGGAACTTTCTGCACCTAAGTGGGGTTTTTCCTACATGTCTTGAGACTCTAAACAATTGAAGTGGGGCAAATGGGGGATGGGTGTTGCGGACAAACCAAGGAGGAAACCCCTTAGAGATAAAGTCTACACACAAATGACCTCATGCATGTCAATTTGAGAGTAAATTGATAGGAGAGATGCCATCCCTATCAATCCTGAATCTAGCCTCATCCGCATAAGCTCATCCACAAAAGAAAGAGAGAGAGCTCTGGGGTTGACCTTCACAAACATCAAGCTCAAGGTTGGAAGGAGCAAGAGGAAAGAAAACTCAACACAAAAGGTTAAGGATTTGAGGTAAGAACACAACTATTATCCGTTAGCTAGTGTTACTCTTGTATTATTTTTAAGAAATCATATGGTGGATTAAACATGATGTTATACACGTTTAAAAGTGTAGAATATTGTTATAAAGTGGTGGTATTTAACTTAGAAGAGTCGTGGAATCGATAGAAGTTGAAACCGCCGGAAACCGCCACTCAAGGGGAGCTGTTCATAGCTGCAGTCCACGGAAGCCGCCCACCTTTTGCAAAAGCCGGCCGGCTTTCGTCTGCTTTCCATATTTTCCACTTCTAATCGGTTTAGAATGGGATTGATCGAAGGGCTTAACAAAGGCAATTATAGCAGCACTTCATAAGGCGAGGATGGATGACTATGTTGCTTATAATTAGTGAGTTAATTTGATGAGATTACCTAAGGTAATTAAATTTATTTTTATGGATTATTAATGATTAATAATGCCTAAGAATGAGAAGAATATTGTCCATAAGAAAGGAGCATGATATAAAAATTTAAGAATAAATTGTGAATGATCATGTGTTATGAGTATGTTGACTTGATAATGGAATTAACTATGAAATGCATGTTGAAATATACTTTTTACTTCATAAAAGAATATATGAATGATTAAAAGTGATATTTTTTATATTGATATAGAGATGATATTTTCAATGGAAAATCAGTGGGGCATTTTATAAATGACCACGAATGGAGAACTCGGTTTTGTTGGAATTAATTGGACTAGTATTGATATACTAGTTGGACATTAAAGTGAAATCTTGCTAAAATTGATCCTAAGGTTGGATTGTGAAGTGTTATGCCTTAAGTAGTCTTAACAGGTGCTTTAAGGTAGGAAAGTATGAACTTTAAGTTATACTAGGGGTAGACCTTAAGGGATACCCAAGATAAATTGAATAATAAATTGATCCTAGGTATAGAATTGGCATACGGGCGTGTTCGGTAGTCTTTGAGGATAGCCGGTTGAATTATGGGAATAAGTAAGGACCATGGCCCTTCCCGACTCTAGAGAGCGGGGTTGGATAACATGGACTTGCATCGTGATCACGGGTTAGGGTGGAATCCGAATTGGAGACCTAACTACGCTCTGACAGCGGTAACACATAAGATAGGACCCCGAAGGCCCTTACCTTCCTATGAGATGATGGGTATGAGTCCAGGGGCTGGAGGTTGATGTTCGAACCGAGGGCCTCATGAGGTCTCGGACAGCAGTAGCAAATCCCGTAGAAATAATAAGACCCACGTGTTGGGTTGTACAAATGATAAATGCAAAGAAATATATAAGAAGAGTCATGTGCCGACAAATAAATGAATTTACTTATTATAGAGATAATAAGTGGGAAATATAAATTATTATTTATATTATCATATCACCCTAATTTGAGGGTCTTAGAAATTAAAACGTTGATTATACTCGGTATAGTTGTCATTGTACTTGTCAAATGCTTTCAAGTACTGACATCCCCTTCACGTGGGAGGCCACCTCACAGTTTCAGGTAGAAGTTGAAGCTTGCTACCATCGTCGTTGCTTCGGGGAGTTTCAAGAGAGAAGACTTGGTTCGTGCTTCCTCTGTTCTGTTTTCAAAATAATTATGATATGACTCATGGATACTATTTTTGGATAATTAATTGGGGCTTGTATGCCCATGTTTGCCAAAGTGTGGCATAAACACTTGTATTAAAAAAATTTCGCTGCTTTAAATGAATGTTTTACATTATGTTTGTTTATAGATGTACTATGTGTGAATGGTATTCAAAGACGCCTTGTATAGTATGGATGAGTTGGACTGCGGTAGACTATTCGTACTGTACGACGGGTTGTTGACGTGTCCGGGTAGGTCCGGGGTGTGACAATTTAATTGGTATCAAAGCCTTAGTCCGTAAACATCATAATGAAGCTTCAAAATTCTTTTTGAAAATGAATTTGAAAACCATGAGCATAAGAAGTTTTGTACTTATAGAACTTTTGGTACTTGAGTTGCAATGTCTCTTATTGTTAAGATGGTACCCTTAACAATTGGTATGGCGGTGATTTGAGCCAAAAGATGTCTTGAAGTGCCTATCCGTCAATTGACATTTGATACGAGTCTAATGACTCATTCCCAATTTCTTTCAGAAAATGGAACGTACCGGGAAAGTTACTCGACGGAAGCCGACTGTCCAGGCACTGGGATGATCCCAACATGGCAGTCGGGGAGCATCGAGAGTGTCTAGGGGGCAGGGCCGTGCAAGCCACACGCTGAATGTAAGTGACGGTCATGTTGAAACAACTGATGAACATTATGAGTCCGAGGAGGATTCAACTTACCAACCAGGAACTGAGCCGGTTGAGACCCCATATGATGGGGAATACGATGATGCTAGCGATGAGAGCGATGATAATGATGCTCTCGAACGGATTGAGGAATTGCTTCAGCAATAAAAACAGGATCTCCAAAGGCGCCGGACAAGGCGTGCGTTGGGGGAGGGGGGCTTCAAGAAGAGGAAGTCTTTTAACCCCTAGGGAGAGCATAGAACTCCGAGGAGGGCGAGGTGTCGAGATCCATATAATAAGGATCTTGAAGTACCTCAAAGAGGCAAGAGATTTGGGGTGTAAACCGTTTGATGGAGCGGGAGACATCTCCGTTGCAGCCGAGTGGATCAAAAGATTCAATGAAGCGGCCCTCGATATGCAGCTGCCACCAAACATGAAGTTGAGAGTGACCACGAGATTACTAGAAGGCATGGCGTCCACATGGTGGGACGGAGCTAAAGGGAAGTACAGCGAGGCCGTCACTTGGGAGAACTTCTGACAGGAATTCTTTAGCCAATACTACTCCAACTTCGAGGTGAACTTGAAGAGGAGGGAGTACACGAATTTGACCCAATGAGGTGAAGGAACTTGAGCACAAGTTCAGAAAACTGGTCGAGTTCGTACCAGAGTATATTTGTGATGAGAACCGGATGGTTAACCACTTCTGGGATGCCTTGGACCTTGACATACGTGAGAGGGCAACGCAATTGCCTAATATGACGTTTAGTCAAGTGGGTGAGCAAGGTTTGAAGGGAGAGAAGGAGTGGGAAGAAAGAAAACGAAGAAATGATGAAGAGACAAAGAAAAGAAAATGGGAGAACCAAGGCCCTCAAGGTTCTAACAAAAAGGGGAACCACGGGGGAGGCAGATCTTTTAGGACCCCTGTTCCACCGGCGAGGGGAAATCAAGGCCCAAGCGGGCAGAGCTCGATGTCACAAGGCTCGAGCATGAAGAGGTGCAACAACTGCAAGAAGAACCATCTAGGAAAGTGTCGTGATCCCCCGAGATGCTATCAATGCGGAGAGGTTGGACATTTGAATGTGAGTTGCCCACAACTCGGGCGAGTCATGGGTGCCGGGCCGAGTAGTAGAACAATTTGAGCAGGAACCGGACGGGAATGCCCAATGCAAACATGGGGCACAGTGGAGCGAGTGCAAGCAACGCGCCATCCGTGAACTAAGGCAAGACCCAAGCTAGGGTCTATGCGATGACAGAAGCGGACACACATGCCAACCCGGACTCCGTTGCGGGTAATTCCTTAAACTTATGATTTTACTCTATGGTAAACAATACAGGTGTTTGAACTTGTAAATTTATAACCCCGGCGAGTTTAGTCGGGTTTGGATGGAAAAGGGAGGAGAATCCTCGCCCTGGGCGAATGCCGCCCGACTTTGACGAAAGCTGCCTGGCTTTCGTCTGAATTAATTAAATAAATACTACGACACTGAAGAGCGGCCGGCGTGCGTGAAACCCGGCCTGCCAAAAGCGAAAGCTGCCCGGGTTTCTCGAAAGTCGCCCGGGTTTCTCGAAAGTCGCCCGGCTTTCGTAATTAATTAAATGTATTAAACTACGACGCCAGATATCGGCCGGCATTCGTGGAAACTGGCCGGCGTTCGTCTGACTTGGAAAATTCTTCGCGGCCCAAAACTGACTGGCTTTTGCAATGCTCGGCCACCTTTTGGAATTAAATTGGGAATTAAACTACGGAGCTCAACGCTGGCCGGCTTTCACGAAGCCCGGCTGGCTTTCGTAAACAAATAATCTGGGAACGTACTTCGCAGCCGAACACCGACCGGCTTTTGAGAAGCCCGGCCGGCTCACGGGTGCCCGACTTTGGGCTAGCATGAACACCGTCCGTCTATTCCAAAGCCCGCCCGGCTTTCACCCGGGTTGGTTCTAGAGCGATGCTAAAGGATAGTAACTAGGAAATTTTGGTAGGGTGTTGGATGGTCCCCATCCGAACCATGACCAATGTACTCTACGACCTGAGAAACGAGTCCATTACCTAGAAAGTGTATCTTACATTACTTATGAATGTAGGAACACTAAAGATAAACGGGAGAGACGCAAGGATCCTTATTGATACCAAGGCGCAACGATCATTTGTGAGTGAGGCGTTCGCCAGCGGATTCAACAAACCACTGGTACCGATGACTCAAACCCTATTGGTATCCACACCTTTGGGGGATAAAATTGAAAGAGACAGCCATTATCCATCGTGTGAGGTGGAAGTGGAGGGCCAAACCTTGACGAGCGACCTAGTACCGCTGAGCATGATCGAGTTCGACGCGATCCTAAGAATGGATTGGCTAGAAAAGCATCATGCTAGGGTCGATTGTTACACGAAGGTTCTTGAACTC